TATGAGATTTAATTGTTTGTCTTCAAAGCCTATTTCGGGACATTGAAAAAATATTAATCATAATTAAAGTTTTATATATTTCAATTTAATATTTATATGTATTTATATTTCAATGAGAGTATAATGGGTGCACAAGAGTGCCGTGGTGCTGTACACAAGTGCAAATCTATACATTATAAAGCTCCTGCACACACGCAGACTCACACATTCGCAACATACACATATTTCAAACTTAAATTTAGTCAATTAAATAAATATAGATTTTAGTGAACTGTGATCAATTTTTATTATTGTTATTAGTATCATTTAATTTTTATTATTATTTTATAATTATTATTGTAATTAAAAAATTTGGATGTTTAATTGTAATTAATTATTATTGTAATTAAAAAATTTGAATGTTTAATTGTAATTAATTATTATAAATGTTATGAGAAGGTGTAATTAACAAAGAAAGCTAAATCGTTATGATGTTATGGTAGCTACAACTGCCAACAAACTGCTCTGTAGTTTGGCAGTAGTACAAAAAATTCTTATAAATATGTATTATACCGTAAATAAACACTTTTTCTTTTCTTTTCTTTCTTCTTTTCTTCAATTATTTTATATTAGATTTATAAAAATTCAAATATTATTATTACTACTATCCAAATGTATAATCGTTTTTGTATACACAGGCTTAATCTAGTGTAGCCATCACTGTTAAACAAATTCTGTAAACCTGGACTTTAAATAAATTTATTATTATCATTAATACTTACCCTGACTGACTGATCCACTAACACTGTATTTTAACACAGAGACCTCAACAAGAACCCACTAAGAAAGGATTTTTGGAAATTTCACCCCTAAGGGAATAAAATAAGGGATGAACGGTTGTATGGAATTTCATTTTCAAAGTATAAAATAATCACGCTAGCGAAGCCGTAGACAATGGCAAGCACTTCATAAATGATGATCAAATAAAATCCTCTTTGTAGTGTTAAGTTCACAATTGTATTTCACGGTTTAGTCTCTACAATTTGAAAGAGATAATTACAATAATATATGAAATAACACTAAATAGTATGTGACTCATACATTTAGTCAAAATGGCATTTTATAGAACTATTAATCAATAGACTGTAAATATAACTTCCATCAATCATTCACAAGTCACATCATCATGTCATTATGTGTTATATTATATTTACATCAAATCTGATACAAACATTGTGTCTAACTCAAGAATATTTCATTTGATGAATAATAATTCTGAATCACAACACATTCTAAAAGTACTTAACCATTTCCAACGCAACACAACAATGCAACAACAAAAGGGTATATTTACTTTCGCACTACGTAACAATAAAAAACTAAGATAGATAAGTAAATAATAAAAATATTCCCAGGGGATGATTCACCACAACATTGTAAACATTTCCTCAAAATATACTCAAAACAATAGGGCATTTGAAGAAGTTCTAAAAGTGTTAATGTGGGGTCGGATAAGCCTTTTACCTGAAGTTATGGTGTAATGCCGGATGTCATTAATGGAGGGTTAAGGAACGTTATCAGTATAGATGATAATAGCAAATATGAGGTTTTCAAATTACAGGAATGTAGATTTTTATAGACACGTGGTTGTCTTTATACTTCTCGAATATCGTGTCATTTCTGTTATTTATTTTGTGGCACTGTTTTTTTTTCTTAAATTAAGTAAGTAAATAATGATATGTAAGTAAGTAAATAATGTGATGTAAATTATTCGACTAATTAAAGTAAGCAACATGAGTATTAAAGTATATGATAACACATTTAATAAGCATAGGTACAGTTTACATGTTCAGAAAAAAAAAATAGTTACGACTTCTTATCGACACGTGATTAAGTAGGAGAATTAAGATCCAAGTTGTTGAAGCCGCGGTTAAAAGCTAGGTATATATTGTATAAAGACAAAGCTTAAATCTATTAATAATATAAAGTGTGTGACAGACTTTGCCCAACAAACTTTAACACACGATTTGAACAGTAGTAACGTGTTATTTGTTACATCGTGTTGACATTTCACTTGTCAAAATAATAATAAACCAGACAGTTATGACGTCATGATCAACCAGATCGTAAACAGTATATTACATGTGGTTACGTTTGAACCGTATTTGAGAAGGAATTCGCTTGCGGTCAAACAGACCACCTACGTGGCAAACGACGTCCCATTTTGTTAATAGTTCCATTATTGCGTCACCGTATGACGCCTAAGTAGAAATAAGGATTAATTTTACGAGTTAATTTTGTTATAAACATTGATTAAGATCCATTAGTCGAAATATTGCCTTATAAATGTGAATGTAGAGTATTATAAAATATAAGTCAGGTAAAAATTGACACAGTTCCATTGTTAAACCTATGCGTATCTCAATCAATTGTAATATTTTTGTGATGAAAACGACCACCATAACCATGATACGTGATAATAGAACAATGTTAAATTAAAAATGAAGTAGTCTTCTACAGAGATCTCTAAAACACAGAAGTGATATACAATCATTAAATAGAGTGATGTCGAATCTAGTCTGTGTATGATAATCCAATGGTTTAACATCTCGCAAGGTCCTAATAGTGTAGTGAAATGTCTAACTTCAAACTCAATTCGACAGTGTTCATTTTTTTAATATATTGTACAAAGCAGTGTTTTTCCAACGGCCGCATTGATGTTAACTTACATGAATCAGGTGCTTGAAGAAACAGTGTAAGCCATGTATAGTGAACGCTTTGGCAGTCCTTCTGCAACCAATTCTTAATAAGTAAGAAGTCATATTGTCATCTAGATATATGTTGTACATCGCTACAAATATTAGCACTTGGGGTTGCGAACCCGAGAACTCCGGTTTGGCAATCGCATACACTAATATAATATAGCTACATCAAAATACGATCTTTTGTTTTTTATCATAACATGTTAGAAACCGTGAATTCCAAAACATTTGCAAAGTAAAATAAACAGTGATATAAAGGAATGTATAGAATAGCACTCGACAAGACTTTTCCATTTTTCTCCCGCTGCTTCAACATACAGTTGCCGGCGATAAAAACATTAGGACACAATAAAACATTTGCGAATTTTTCAAATTTCGTTATGAGTGTCGGTGAAAATTCGAAAGCGCTTCTGTAATGGCTTTTATGAGCTTGTGGACGTGATTTATGCAAATGATTTTGTATACGAAAATTCTAAAGTCTATTAAATGTTCTATGTAGATAGCGTGCCTTTGATTTATACTGCAGGCTGTCTTTGGACAGAGACGGAATATTAGTATTGCGAACTTTGCAAGTGGTAACGCCATCTATCGGGAAGTAGAAGTCAGGTTTCTGTCGTATTTATTCTCAAGTCTTTACAGGTAGGTATATAGGTATATAAAAGTTTTGAATAAGATTGTTGCGTTACATTTTAGAATTTGCATATCAAAGCAACCGAGATTTGTTATTGACGTGGTAAATGACGTGATTGAAATTTCTATTAAGAGTAAAAAATCGAGGCTTCACAGGGAACGACATTGATTTTATACGTTTCTACATTATTATCAATGGATGGCAAGCTGTGATAAAGCGTTATTTTAATTAAGCAGTTTTCATTTAAGATTATTATAATATTGGTAATGGATAAAACATTTTTATATAATGATATTTGAACAGTTCTAGATATGCGAGTAAGTTATGTTACAAAAACATAAGATGTGTACAATTTTTTTTTTGAAAATATTCACCCGAATGTTCATCAAAGCCTTTCAATTCATAGTAATTTCTCTAATCACCAATATTGCAAAGTTAACAATCGTATTCCGGTTTTGTTCTGTAGATATTCATAGAAGATCAGGCAAAGTAACTTCTTTCTCTGGTCCATTTGATTATGATTGTAAATGTATGTATGATTTGAGTATGATTTATAAAACTCATAAAGTTTAAAGATACGTAAAATAAATTCATTAAATATAAGTAAATTAAACTATACCTTACACAACTTTTAAGAAATAGAACAAAATTGCATTCATTTTTTTAATAAACATTTGGTTGTTCAGCTAACGCGTACCAATATATTTTCAATGTAAATAAATCGATACAATACCCGTAAATACATACTTTAATAGGTACGACTTTTTTTTTTTTTTAAATTTTTTAATGGCAAACTTTATTGAAAAAAAGACGGAAGTTTCACATCAACTGAAGCAGTTGCCGATTTTTATAATAGTGTGTTTAATAATGATTATGAGGTGTATTTATCAACATTATATCAAAATCAAAATAAAGTATTTTGACGTGTCAAAATCTCTTCTAGAATGCAAAAATGTTAAGGTACAGTGTATATAAACGTCAAATTTAAAGTTAAATAACTAACTAACTAACTATTTACTAACTTATAACTAGATGTAATTTTTGAATCAAATAAAAATATCAAAATCGGTATCGGTAATCGAATGATCACCAGTATATATGTACATCTTAATTATAACCTCTTTCTAAAGCTATTACAAGATTATTACAAAATTTTGTCAGTAATCGTAAAATTATCTTAAAATTTCTACGCTACTCACTACTAGATAGCGCTACATGCTCTCACATAAAATAAAGAACTTACGCGGGGTGCGGGAGGCAGGGAAAATAGCTCGCGCGCCCCCACTGCTACTTCCACGAGTCAAGCGCTCCGCTTGACAGTCACAACGCAACCGCGTCGCGGAGAGGTCTTGCTACATCACGCGCCGGTCTATGCTTCTCGCAATAAATATTAAATACACAAACTGATCTGAAACGTCAAACAACAATTAATAAGTGAAAAGTATAACCAATTACTGTCATTAAGGACTTAAACAAAAATATACACCACTGACTCATAGTGAAGTGAAATGTTAGGAAGTTTTTCTTCAGCGCTCAAGTGTACCACGTACTTTGTTTCGGAAATGGTGATATCGACCCACGGGGAGTGTTTATGAGACGTTTTGCAGTGAAATGAAAAATCTGTGATAATGTATACAGTCGTGGCTGTATTTTGTACTTTACTGCACATCGGATCAACGGTGCTGCCCTACGGCTCGGACAAATGCGTTCGAGTCTCAGATCGAGCATTGGACAGTGGAGTACTCTGCAGGATACGAACACTTGACGGCGATGGGAGCAGTATTATATCAGTTTCATCGGATACTAATCGCTTGGCAATAGAGTGTAATCATCTATTGCTTTTTGAAAGCTCTTTAAGAGCACACTACTTTAATCCGGTATCCAGCCTTACTCAACTGTCAATAAACAACTGCAAGTTATTACGTCTGCCTGATAATACATTTAATGAATTGAAAAAGCTTAAAAAGTTAAAACTGCGAACCAAGAATTTTGAATGGAGCCCTACTAAGAACTTGGAGTTATCTCTGAACGCTTTTAACGGGTTGTCAGAACTGCAGTCGTTGGATCTTGCTCAGAATAACATAAAATTTGTTCCTTCCGGCGTATTCTGCGGCTTAGAAAATTTGAGTTCATTGAATTTGACGCATAATAGAATAAGGACAGTTGGACAGCTTGGATTTGGACAAGGCTGTGGATCAAATTTACATAATTTGGATTTAAGTTACAATGAAATCAAATCGCTACCAGAGAACTCCGAATTACTGAAATTGAGAAGTTTACAACATTTATATTTGCAACATAACAATATCTCCGACATATCAAGTGAAGCTTTTAATGGCCTTGTTTCAATGAGGGTTCTTAACATATCACACAACCAACTTCATACGCTCCCTGAAGGCCTCTTTGCTAACGCAAAAGAATTAAGAGAAATTTATTTAAATGATAATACTCTTTTTGAATTGGCTCGAGGAATATTTCATCGTTTGGAACAACTTATTGTCTTAGACTTATCCAGTAACCAACTTACAAGCAATCATATCGATGATGGAACTTTTTTGGGATTAATTCGCTTGATAGTATTAAATTTATCAAACAACGCTTTGACGAGAATCGATGGAAAAACTTTTAAAGACTTATTCGTATTACAAATTTTGAATCTCAAGAACAACACAATTGGATATATTGAAGAAAATGCATTTTTACCGTTGTATAATTTACATACACTTAATTTAGCGGAGAACCGCCTTCATACAATAGATGAAAACTTATTCAATGGCCTTTTCGTACTGAGTAAATTGACTTTAAATAACAATTTACTAGTAAATATAGATCGAAAAGCTTTTAAAAACTGTTCTGATTTGAAAGAGCTAGACCTGAGTTCAAACCAGCTTTTGGATGTGCCCGAAGCACTATGGGAACTGTCTTTTCTTAAAACCCTTGACATTGGAGAAAATCAAATTTCTCAGTTTCGAAATGGTTCGTTCAAAAATTTAAATCAATTAACGGGCCTACGATTAATCGACAATCAAATCGGAAACCTTTCTGTCGGAATGTTTTGGGACTTACCAAGCTTACAAGTGCTCAACATTGCTAAGAACAAGATTCAGTCAATCGAGAGAGGAACTTTTAGCAGAAATACGCAACTAGAAGCTATACGACTCGACGGGAATTTCTTGTCCGACATCAACGGCGTCTTCTCAACGCTCGCAAGCCTTTTGTGGCTCAATTTATCGGAAAATCATCTAGTGTGGTTTGATTACGCGTTTGTGCCCAGCAATTTAAAGTGGTTAGACATTCACGGCAATTTTATTGAACACTTAGGTAACTATTACAAGTTGCAAGATGAAATCCGTATAAAGACATTGGATGTTAGTCATAATCGCATCGTGGAAATTTCGCCAATGGCGATCCCAAATAGTGTGGAACTGTTATTTATTAACAATAACTTTTTAAATAGTATTCATGTGAACACGTTTTTCGATAAAAAGAACTTGACGCGGGTCGACATGTACGCTAATGAAATTGTACGTTTAGAACTTAATAGTTTACGACTATCTACAGTGCCGGGCAATAGGTCTTTACCCGAATTTTATATTGGTGGCAACCCGTTTCAATGTGATTGTGCTATGGAATGGTTACCAATCATTAACAATATGACCGCAATGAGGCAATACCCTCGTGTGATGGACTTAGAAAACGTTTTGTGTAAAATGACAAACACTCGAAGTGGAACTCATGTGCCCCTAAGTAGTTTAAAGACAACAGACTTTCTTTGTAAGTATGAGACTCATTGTTTTGCCATCTGTCACTGCTGCGACTACGATGCGTGTGATTGTGAAATGACCTGCCCTCAAAATTGCACTTGTTACCACGACCCACTGTGGAATACAAACGTTGTAGACTGTTCCGGACAATCTTCAATTGAAATACCACAAAAAATACCAATGGATGCTACAGAAGTATTTTTAGATGGAAATAATATAAAAGAACTACAAAATCATGTGTTTATTGGGCGACAGAAAATGAGATCATTGTATGTGAACAATAGTAATGTTGATAGCATCCAGAACAGAACTTTTGCCGGTTTGAACTCTCTTCAAATACTTCACTTAGGCAACAATAAGCTCAAGGAATTAAAAGGATATGAATTTCATCAACTTAGTAATTTAAAAGAGTTGTTTTTACAAAACAATCTTATTAGTCATATTGCTAACATATCATTTCTTTCATTAAAGTCTTTAGAAGTTTTGCGCCTAGACGGCAATAGATTAGTTGATTTTGGTGTGTGGACTTTTAATAACAACCCAAATTTAAAAGCCTTGTCACTTGGCAACAACCTTTGGTCATGCAAATGTCGTTATTTGCAAGAATTGACTGCATATTTGGCGGAGAATGCGCAAAAAATTATTGACATAACCGACGTATGGTGTTGGAATGGCGATGCAAAGCCGCCGCAGAAAAAAGAACTCAATTTAAACGGTACAGCCTGCAGCGATTATTATGCTGATAATTCAGTCATCGGAAATATGCTTGTGTCAAACTATGTTCCCATGATGGTCTCGACGCTTACTGGCTTTATGCTAATTTTATTAGCCCTTGTTATTCTATTTCTTTTTAGAGACTCACTTAGAGTATGGCTGTATACAAATTGTGGCATTAGAGTGTTCTCATTTTCGGGAACTTTTGAAGAGAGTCAAAAATTATACGATGCGTATGTTTGCTACAGTCCAAAAGATGAAGAATCCATTGTTCAATCATTGGCTAACGAGTTAGAACGAGAAAATGGAAACCCATCATACCGACTCTGTCTTCATTATAGAGACATTCCACACCACGGCGCTCAATACATGCAATGCGCGCCGCCTATTATCGAGACCGCAGAAGCATCGAAACGAATCATCATCGTACTAACGAGAAATTTTATGCAAACAGAATGGTCTCAATACGAATTCCGACAAGGGTTGCATGAAGCGTTAAAGGGATGTATTTATAAACTAGTACTAATAGAAGAATATTCAGTTGTGGCGGATGCCATGTGTAACCCCGACATGCGTCCCTATCTAAAAACAGGGTCGCGACTGACATGGGGTGAAAAAAGATTTTGGAAACGGTTGAGGTACATGATGCCTGACACATCTCCGAATAATAAAGCACGAAGTTTGAATACTTACACGTTAGATTCTTCTGTGCCTCACCGTGGTCCTCGTACCTTGCCTTTTCCTGAAAGGTCACCTGTGTTATGTTCCGCTCAAGGTGCTAGTGCTCCACCTGAGTACAGTAGTGAGGTGAGGCAGACGCCATTAGCTGTCAGACAGACACAAGCAATGGCTTATGGGCCGGATGGAAGGCCTATCTCAGATCACATTTACTCATCAATAGACTCAGATTACTCGTCGTTGGAGCACGGCATGGCCCCGGGCAGGCGGCGAGAAATGCGGCAATGGCCGCCGCCACCGCCTCTCGTCAACACGGGTAATGCCGTGCAAGCCTACCTAGTCTAGAGGGCGCTAGCCCACCTTCCAGTCAACATTGTAAATATGTATGTAGCTATTAGTAGTGCGCTGTAAATACTGTAATTATTAGAATGTAAGTGCTATACCAAATGTATGTAAGTGAACTATTATTGCCTGTTCGTTATCATGTGTATAGATATTAAAATTTTAAAGACTGCTGTAGTATATGACTGTAAATAGCAAAAACAAGTGATCATTCTATATTATTATCAGTAATATGGTTATTTATACAAATAAAATAAAGTGACGAAGATTTATAATTCTATACTTTTATTTTAAACTCCTTAAAACTATAACAATGTCTTTCATAGGTGTTTTAGGTGTATAACATACAGGCTTAATACTGATAAACAATTACACCCCGTTTTATAAGTTAACAAATAAACAATATTAACCTAACAAAAGCAATTCGATCACGATAGTGCAAATAAAATTTACATATTTATAGAAATGAAATGTGTGTGGTCGTAAAGCATATCAACATTATCAATACAACATATCAAAGTTATTAAATGTGTTACACACAAATATATGTGTGACTACATATTTGTGTATATAGGTAACAGTTTATGATTGTTTTTGCTCGAAGTATGGTTTGAAACCTATCGTTAAACAAAGTTGTACACAGTAGATTGTCATGAATATACCTACTGTTAATAAAAAAATTAAGCATTTAAACTATTGCTTTACTGAAAGAAGTTATAACTGTTTAGAACATCATCATCATCATCGTTGCCTTTAGTAGTCCATTGTTAGACATAGACCTCTCTTTAGAAAGGATTTTGTTTAGAACATAAGCAAAGTAAATTTTATATCAGATATAGATCTATCCAAATATTATTATATGATGGGAGCATACTGTCTCAAATCATAAATGTGAATATTTATTGGATGAAATCGTTATCCATATCTATAGAGTTTTAGTCACAATAGGTGTCACACGAACCATAACTAAGAAAATGTTTTACTCACACATATACAGTTTTTCTATACATAAAGGCAAATTAATAATATAATTTTCTTAATTTTTTTAATTAATTAATTAAAATTAAATATATTTAACATATAACAATCGTTGAACTAATAGCTTCACAGCAATACTATGAGGGATATTTTTATTCAAAAGTAAATACCTTGATACCTTGCTTTTAAAAAGAAAGACAACATTCAAATTAACAAAGAACATCTATGTTTTGACAAATATTTGCCCGAAATGCTAATCGAACGTTTAATACTTGGCGTAGCGTAGTAGCGAAGAGATCACTTAATTCATTTGGCAAATACAAAAAATGAAAAGTATTCAATATACATTTTCATCGCAGTAGAACATTACATTTTGTTATTCATATTTAAATTATTTTCAGATCATTTGAGATATAAATACAAATAAATAATGTTCAACAAATCTCTTTATGAAATATCTTCAGTATCTGGAAGTGTGGATGAAAATACATAATTTAAGTTTTCAATTCCATTTCAAACATAAATGAGGCAAATTAAACTGAATATAAAACATAAATTGATTTCGAATAGAAGCTCCTTTTTTTTAACACGCTCTTATTAGCATGGTATGCATGTACGAGTATGTAAGTATCGGATTTTGACCCACTTCAAAACGTCGAATTAAATTGAAACTTCGCACACTTATTAAGGACCGATGACTATACAATAATTTGATAAATTTGACTGATCAGGATCGTCAGGATGAACGGCTTTTTCCATACCTAAAAATACGGTAGTATCTTTTGCAACGTGCTAAGAGGCGTGTGCTGAAGCATATGTGACTTACTTACTTGTTACTCTTTTAGTCTTAATTAGAAAATAGTTTTCTAAAAGTTCAAAAAGAAACATAATTTTTTCGAAAAAAAGCGTGGGGTGTTTTTCAAGATATTATATAATTTAATAACTTTTTCTCCCATTTATTTGAATAAATAACGTAGTAGCAGATTCTGTTTACAATAAAAATGTTTAAAAATATCTTACGTAAATTTTCTTTCGAAAGGGACATCACAAAAAATCATTGTAATATTCTAAATTTAAAAATAGTCATAAAGCTTCTTTGAAGGATGTAAATTATACATTCTGTGTAACAATAGTGAACGCACCGCTACTGTAGTGTACTGTAGGGGAATAATAAGTTTACAAGACTAAGAACGGCGTATTATTCATACAAACCGAATTAAAAGAAAAAACACTTAATTTCAGAAGTATCTCTTATACTAAGTTTTTTCTTCTTTTAATTTATAAAATAGCAGAAAAAACTTCTTCTTCTTTAATTACTAAAATAGCGACACGATAAAACATATTATTTATTCCTCCCAACAGGCTATTTAAAAAGTCTCCAGTTAAATAATAAAAATAACATAAGTAAAATGACTGTGCGAAAACTTTATTTATTTGCTTGATCCTGTAAAACATATCACCAGAAGTTTATTCAGTCCACCTGTATACTGTTACAACTAAAGCGGACATTTTAATTCTAGCGTAGTGCTAACAATAACGCTGCCAATGTAATTATGACCGACGTTGTTAATATTTATTTAAAAATATAGGTACAAGTTACAGAGTTATCGACAGACCTGTTGGTCTAGTGGTAATTAGTTAGTGATTCTGTCTGCTAAGCCCAAGGCCGTGGGTTCGATTTCCACCCAATAAAAATAATTGTGTAATGGCACGATCATTTGTTCTGTATCTGAGTGTAATTTATTAATTATATGTATGTATTTAGAAACATTGAAATATATTTATTGGCAAACATGTTTTACCATAGTTATAGGTTCTATCTATTATGGAATTCGTCAGCTGTGTGGGAACAGATTATTAATACAATGTCACTACCCCTTATTTATCCCGTGAGGGTCGTAAGAGCCGTCTAAGGAAGCAAACAACACAGGACAACAGCACTGCAAAGAGGAGGAAAACTTAAAACGAACCCTAAACCCATACGGCTTGGTTTAGGGTTCGTTTTAGTGGTTTAGTTCGTTTAGGGTTTGGTTTAGGGCCAGGGTGGTATTACAAAACCTTTTTTCTAAGGAGAGGCCTATGACTTAAAGGCCGTTTTTGTTACTATTGTTATAGAAACTTACGACAAGTACCTATTTTTAAACACGGATTCTTATAAATCACGTTAAAATAGTAATTGCGACTGAAAAATAGCTCTTTGGAACTTATCACTTATACACCTAAATCTCTTTCTCCATGTTATTAGGTTTTTCTATAGTAACCTTAGTGACTCCTACTCGGTTCTAACGGTAAAATTCACCAGTTCAAACGTGTGTTGCAGTGAATAACCGCCATATTCGGTTACAGGGCCTCCTTCGATTGTTTAGTATGTTACGATATAACACGAGCAAGTCGTGCCCATTCATGTTCTTAGCTTGTACTAACATATTTGGGCAGTAAATCTCGTTTCTATTCTGCAAAAGGAAACTTTATATTAATTGTTTTATGTGACTAAATGGTAAATCAATGTTACAGTTGAATGTTTTATTTAGCTTTTGGAATTTTGTGCACATGTAAAGCTTGTTATTCCAATATAGAAAAAAAAACATTGTTGTATCAATGTCATGTCGCAATTTTATGTGTAAAAACTATTACAACACAATACGTGTAAAAAAGACAATGTCATAAATTTAATTTTTGCAGTTACTATTGAAAAGTTTCCTAAAAGCAAAATTAATTATTTAGTTTTAAAAGAATGAAAATAAAATGCAATGGAGTATAATTAAATGCAGAACTCTGCCTAATAAACTCAGAACTACTTTTCTGATTGGTCCTTGTGCTCACAAAGCGAAAGAGGACATGAAAATGTATGAAGTCCATGTTATTATTCTTAATTCCCTGTTGCCAAACAACGAAAGGTAAGGCATAGTTGGCAACAAAGGAATATGAACCTTGTAACAAATACAGTAAAGGTAAAAATCTTGTGTAACTAATTATACGTATCAGTGTCCTTTGAGAATTCAATGAGTAGAATTAATGACACAGGTACTTGTGTACCGCTGAGGTATTTTTTACTTACATTTTACGTATACATGGACAAATTTCTAGGCTCTTATACTGCCTTATACTGCTATAGGAAAGCTATTATTCTTCTACTGAGGTACGTGAGCTATTAGCATATAGATGCTCTTGAAGATTCACTGCTACCAGATAACAGGGTATGGAAGTCTAAAATATTTCTATAGATTTTATTTTATCGTCTGATAATAGGCAGTTGAGTTGAGTTTAGACGGGCCTGTTGGTCTAGTGGTTAGTGACCCTGACTGCTAAGCCGGAGTTCGATTCCCACCCAGGTCAAGTAATTGTGTGATGAGCACGTTGATTTGTTCTGTGTCTGAGTGTAATTTATGTTTAATATGTATGTATTTAGAAATTTATAATTGTGTTTATTAGCAGTCTCGTTACCTTAGTACAGGCTCTGCCTAGTTTAGTCATCGCCGAGTGGGCAGGGCGGCAGGACCCTTTCCTTCCGGCTGACGCAGGTGCTTTCCGGGCACGGTTGCTTCGGAAAGTACCTGCACACGGTCGCTAGGAGGGAACTGAGTCCCGCCTGCCACCACTGCGACTGCAGTGAGGACTCGGCCCAGCACACGCTGGCGGTCTGCCCCGCATGGGCGGCGCAGCGCCGGGCCCTCACTGCAGTCATCGGAGTGGATCTCTCGCTACCGGCCGTAGTACGCTCCATGGCCGGTAGCGACAGTTGTTTTACCGCGGTCGCAACCTTCTGCGAGGTAGTAATCTCGCGGAAGGAGGCGGCGGAGAGGGCCCGGGAGGACGACCTCCACTCGGACCCGATCCGCCGCCGGCGAACCGGGCGGCGGAGGCCCGGCTATCACAGCCTCATGCCGCCCTGAGTGTGGCCGCGGGTGGACGGGGTGGGTTTCCCCTCCACCCGCATTAGTTGGCCAGCCGCGAGGAACATCCACATTGAGACGGAGCCCGCACCAGGAGCGGGCTGGCGCTAGGAGGGGTCCGGATGTCTTAAC